GCAATGATATATAATCGCATACGAAAAACTATTTCTAGTTGAACTCGTGGTATACTGTACGAGTAGAGTTTATAGGACTCTTAAAAACGTTCAATATTGCTTCCATAGAAATATAATGAATCAATAAAAAAATAAAATGACAAACATTGATTTATTGTATGTATGATCTTAATATTATGTGGTCTATTAATAACAACAAGTTTCAGTAGCTCAAGCTATAGTTCAAAAATATAAATTTAAAAAGATAAAACGATAACCGTTAGTGTTACATGATTATAGCGTTTWTCAAACACCGGATGGTTTTCAACAACCATTTTTAAGATTTTAAAAATATTATGACCATAATACTGTTACATATCGTTATTCGTTTTGTCCTTCAGTGAAATTACTTGGTCTTAAAAATTAAAATTAAAGATGCTAAACTAGAAAAATAAAATCATCATCAGCCGCATGATGACCGTATATTTTTCCGGTTGCAAATAGAATATTATTATTATCTATATTTTGTAGGTCATGTTGACCTGTATACGCAATCAATTACAATTGTAAAAAAAACATCATGATGCAAGGACTGAATGAAATAAGACAAAAGGATATAGTGCTCACAGCTCACACAATAACACTCTTCACATTAGTTATCGACARCAAATGCAATCAAGGATTTATCAGAGCCTTTAGTTCTGCTGTCATTGTTTTACACATATTCTAATATTACGTTACAGGTACACAAGGCGTGTCAAGTTTTTGTTCAATCGGTGAGATTAATAAACAAACAAGATTATACAATAATGGGAGATTATAAAGGTTTAAGCCTTACAAATATTTCCAGTACCGAATAATTATAAAATATGATAATATTATAAAGTTATTAAAATACAAAATAACRTATTAAGAAAATATTATAAAATTAAATTTATYGTTGCAGAAAATTATTATTAAACAAGGTTYCCTCATAGGCCTCATTATGCTCSCAGAYTCGCATTAGATTTGTTTGGATTAAAAAAAAAAATTGTTGCAGGCGTACGAGACTTTTTTTAGGTTAAGTTAGTGTTCTAAATGCTAACCRTGACTTARGGTTAAGATAATAATATAAAGTTGATCAACGAGTTGTATCAATGTGTCCCAAAGAATTAATAATAATCCTCAAACACCCGTTATTCTTATGTTATTAACAAATTATTTATTTACGAGTATTATAATTATTATACCAACATTTTGAAAACACAAAAATTCAAAATAGTTAAACTAAGTTTTTATTATTTTTAAAAACATACAATCCAACTATTATTATAATAGTGGTAWATATTATAAATACGTTTCACAAGAATATTGGAGATAGTGTAGGTATAGGCGGGATTTCGTCCCATCACTGCAGTTCAGCTTCTCGCTGTTGAGCATATATAATATGACAAGTCTGGATTGTGGATCGTCGGCAGAAATCATAATAATATTTATTATTGTGACGACAGCCTATCCCGATAGATTTTTAACAGTATTTTGACAAGACAAGAATCGTGTTTTGAAATCATGGGGCAGGTTTCCTTTGCATCCGAAACCTCCAAGCTTGTGGATGGCTGCGAAATCGTAGCAATCAATGACTCCGTCGTTGTTGCAGTCCTGTATACATAGTCAATAATGGGAATAAGATCAAAATAATAAAACATAAATACGTAAAAAGTAAAAAAAATTTAACTGCTGACAGACGCCACCGTAAATGGAAAATCTGATATCACACCCACGGCGTAAATACAACAAATAATTATTACGGTTAATCTAACGGTTTACCTGAGCGAATCTGTGCATGTAACTTATTACTGACTGTTTGGCGCACGTAGGGTCGTTGGCACATTTTTGGTATGCTGAAAACAAACAACAATAACAATATCATTATCAAACGACGAAAACTTTGTTGTGGTTAGTATATACGTAAAATAATATTTTAATCATCATATTTGCAGTTATCACACGGCGTATGTATATTTTTTACATCGTACGTCCTGCAGAAGTACCCATTAACGATATTATTATATTATTAATGACTGTTTTCGACCAAACGAACTTGGGTCCTTATATTAATCGACGTTACTATATGTATTAATAATATGAATAATGCGATAATATATTATTATATATTATACTGCAACGAAAACGATTCACATCCCTAGGGATGTCAATGAATAGGTACATAGAAAAGCCGATTTATCAAACAAAACTTTAGTAGTTAACGAAAATATCATTCAACCGCATCGGACACATAATAATAATAATATCCTGTGCGTGACAGTTGCAGAATTGACTTTGGTTTCTTTTAATACCGTCGTTTTTAGAGTATAATGCGGCGCTTGGTATCCATAGCACTACTTTTAAACGCTACATGTAAAAAAAAACAACAAATTGCCGAATCATATATTATTTTCAAAAATGTTATAAAGTATATCTTCATGTGTTGCGACTATCCTTCGTGTACGATATTTAATATACGTAAATGTCAACTCTGAAACTATATGTTTTAATTTTTGTACCATACACGATAAATGCGAAATGCTTAAGGCATTTTAAAATACAATGAAAGCCATTACTGGAGTAWTATGTGTTCGTATATTATACTAGCAATGACAATAGTTATTTTTTATTTTTAACTATTCCGAAAGTTGTTTTACACTTTAAAATGCGATTTGTGTAGGTGCCACAAAGATTTACATATAGAAATAATGACCGCATAGGAAGACGTGTGACACAAAAAAATTAGGTGCTTTATCAAATAATATTAAAACATAACTATTAAATGAGTAACTTATAACATCATAATAATTGTGACGATATATATAATAATCATGAACTCAGTTCGTGATAATAATCATTCCRCAGTGCACCAATTAGGTTTTTTATAGGAATTTTTTAAATCARTTAATCATTTGTATATAATTGGTTGCCATAATAATAATTATTTTCATTGCATTATAAAAATGCTTGTTTGTATTTGTGTTATTATATTTATTTAACACAGAATAATTTAGTGAAATTTCTTACTACAATATATTATATGTATTACGTAAAAAATATACCAGAGTTGATACCATACGGCATACATCTTATGGGTTCAATGCC